ATCCTTGTTAATGCTCCTGATTTTTATATCAGCTCATGGGAGAATAGTGGAACTGCCAACTAAATAGTGTTGTATCATACAGTCTGGAACTATAGAGAATCTTCTAAACAAGGCAGTAGCACCAATCATGCAAGAGTGCCGTGCCCCAATACGATCATGGTCATAGAGAACATTTTTCAAAAAAATTCAGATTATTATCTTGCAACTGCCACATTGTCCATGATGTTGCAATACTGCAATCTAGAATAAAGTTTTCATATCAAGAAAGCACCACAGAATGAGAACCCTCCACACTTTCAATGCTACACTTTAGCAAACCAATGGAATGTTTTTGAGTGTTATCCAGAATTACTGAAGGAGAAATTCAACAATAACAAAAACCTCATGCTTATATTAGTCCCCAAATATCTGATACTGTTTCATGTCAAGCTCACCTCTCCCTAAAGAGAGCATGAGGTTGGACAGGGAGACACTGTGGGCACAAAACTACCAGCTGTATCACTGAAATTGGTCCTCTTAGGCTTCAAAAGTGCATAGCATATGCCCCATGGACAAGTCTGACCTTAAAAGAAAACTTTGCTCATTCTTAAACCACTTGAGCATGGGTTTTGTGCTTCCTCAGAACACACAACAGCTCTGCAAGGTAGGACCACTTGTGGTTGCAAGTTAGTGACCTTCCAATCTACTGGATCTAGGCGTAACCCTGCTGTTCAAGAGACTAGCCCTCAATTAAGCTTATATTTGTTTTATTAAGAAAATAAAGATTCATACAAAACAGTTGTTTGCAAAAGCATTAGCATAAACGTGTCCAAAGATTACAATGGCTAAATAAAGCTCCTATTTCTTATTAAAAAAGAAACATTAAAAACTAAGGTAAGTAATTATTGTAACTTGCAAGGTGGGCTATTCCCCCTCCTTCTTGTTGTTTTAAAAAGACAAACCGTTTTTCCTTGCTACATCCTGTAAGCTACAAATACATCCCATCATCCATCTTTTTTATGTCTAGGACTTCCTACTTTTGACACACAAAAGCGGTAAACCAATTAACTTCAAAGAGGCTTAACACAACTCTCCACCCAGAATTTTCATGAAGTCCACAGGTGCGTTATCTTGCTCCCAATTAGCCGATATGGGTGTTTGGTCTTCTCAGGTCTCTCTGTGTGTCCTTGTGCTTATCGCAGTTCCCTCTGTACCAGGCAGGCAGGAATTCTGAAAAACAGTCTCACAGCCTAACACATACCAATGCTTTAAAATCATGTAACAGTCTCCATTTTCTTTGACTACATTCCCACTATCCTTCAAAGCATCACAGTTCACAAATACCAAGGCAATCACATTTAAATTCTGTATTGAAACCATAGTTAGTTATGTAGTAAACCTACCGTGTTTTCCCCAAAATAAGACACGGTCTTATATTAACTTTTGCTCCAAAAATGCATTAGGGCTTATTTTCAAGGGATATTTTATTTTTTCCATGCACAACAATCTATATTTATTCAAATACAGTCATGTCATCTTCTTCTGGTTGCTGCACAATGGTGGAGGATGGGGTTTCACTTAACTCGGGCTTATCTGGGGTGTAGGGCTTATATTAGGAGCATCCTAAAAATCATACAGGGATTATTTTCAGCTTAGGTCTTATTTTCAGGAAAAGAGGGTATTATATATAAAATGAAATGATGCATAGCATATCACAATCCATAACTTTCAGTCTATTCCTAACTGGAGGACAAAGATGCTCCACTGGAATTTTTGTGTAAGTCAAATGCATGACATGACCTTGCACTAAGCCAGTGCACATGCACTCTCCCCAAAAGTAGAGACATTTTATTTGGCAGCTAGGAACAAAATTAAAAGTTACAAAAAGTGTGCAACAGCTAAGCAAAAGGAATTCATCCATATAATCCTGAAGTGCCAATAATTGGTCTATAAAATACACAACTCCACTCAATCATCCAATTATTCAGAAAAATCAGCCTCCATATATCAAAGATTTTCTATACTACCACCAGACTATCAGAATGGATTTTTGAAATGAGAGTGCAAACTTAGGCAGGCAATTACTGTCACCATGAACATTAAACCTTCAGCATAACATAAAGGAAATAATGTGGCCATCCCCCTGACTTTAGACATTTTTCTACTAAGTGTACATATTCAATTTTACTATTTGACAAAAGCTCTACAAGAAACTGAAGATTGATATCACTCATAACTCAACTATGGACACAGTGAAACTAAACTACAATTTGATATAGGAGATGCTACACACTTAACAAAAATAAAAGCCTCTAGTTTCATGAAACTAGTTTAAATTTACCGACATTAAAATAAAGTCACATTTGTTATAATCAAATATCAGAATCCCAAGGTCATTAGGAATAAAAATGTTGTATTCTGGACTTTTCTGAAGTGTCATGCAAAGTTCTCTTTGGTTTATGACTGTAACTTTCAAAGAATTAGATCCTTTACCAATTGACTTCCAACCACTCTAAAGGTCAGTAGGAAAAGAGAAATTGTCGCTCTATCAAACCTCACCTAAAAATAATGTTTTAAGTTTTACTACAAATTTCAAACAAAGAAAACTGGTATTAACATTTATTGATGCAAATTAGCTTGTTATATCTATGTAGGGTTAAATATCAACAGAAAAGCTTCTTTCACAGACACAAAGCAGATTCCCCGACAAAGTCCATGTGAGTTTCTCTCTTTCTTGTCATTTAAACAAAACACATGCTGCTTATCTCTTTCTGGGTGTAATTCTTTGCTCAAAATCTATTAACGGATTCATAATATTCAGAATATAATGGCAAAATGCAAGCTACATCACCAAAATATAAGGCACAAAAATAGCAAGTGTAATGTTTTGCCAGCAAAAATTTGGTGACAGAATGGATAACATGCGGGCAGCATGAGGATGGGAGTTGGGGAGATCACACCTGTGTGAAGAATGTACATTCTTCTGACCAGAGCCATGCCTCTCATGGTGGTACTGTATACAGTGGTATCTCGCATAACGAGCGCACAAATCCACATAGCGATGCAGATTTTGCGATCGCAAAAGCGATCGCATTGCAATGTTTTAAATAGGGAAAACACTGCATTGCGATGATCGGTAAGCGTTTTGCTTACCGATCTTCGCATTGTGATGTTTTAAAAGAGCTGATCGGCGGTTCCAAAATGGCCACTGGAAGAAAAAAATGGCCACCCGCAGTGTTTTCGCGCGGTTTCCTCACTTACCGAGGCGGCGAAAATGGCGGCCGTATGGAGGATTTCCACTTAGCGGTGAGTTTATTCCCCACAGGAACACATTGAAGGGGGTTCAATGCGTTCCTATGGGGTTTTTTTGCCCCGTATAGCGATGTTTCCGGATAGCGACGATTTATCCAGAATGGATTATCGTCGCTATGTGGGGCACCACTGTCCTTTTACACCAGTAACAGGCTGAGGTGGGAATTTTCCTGCCTGCCGATTTCAATGAGAAGTGGATGCAGCCATTTTCACATTAGTGATAGCTCCACCCATGTATCCACACCAAAAGTACAGCATACAGTGCATCGTAACTAGTATATAAATCTCACAAAAGGAAACAGTAATTGAAATTCTAGACACAAAGAATGAGTTCATGTCTCATACCTCTTGTCTCATACTCAGAGCCCATGAGGAGGAACTACAGTGATAGGAAATACAGAGAAATAACTTCACTGGTCACAGTCTGTTTTGAGTTCAATATGGAACTCGAACATACTGTGAATATTTCTGCACTCTGTCTCAAAGTCCCTGTCAGGTCCCTGAGTCTCCTCCAACTGGGGATCCTGGACAAATCACAACAAAGGAAGGAGACAACATTTCCTGAAAAACAGATCTGCTATGATTATTTGCCTAGTCTCCACTCCCCACTTAGCTATATGCAAAACTCTGTTACCACTACAATACTGCTCCCTTTTCCATATGAAGTAAAACTAAGCAGATGCTTCGATGCTTATGAGTGCATCCTGTTGTTGTCACTACCGTTACCTAGACAGTATTACTGCATACTTGATACTGCCTGGAGAAAGAAACCATCACCAAAGTGATCATGATGGGCCCTTATCTCAATGGAGGTTACAGGAAGCATCTGCTGAACCAGGTGGGGGAGCTCATTGGTTGAAGGCCAGGGTAGACCAGAAGGCCATAAGAATGCAACAATGAAAAACTGAAAAAGTGCCATTCTACATCTATACATCAACAGCTGTTCTACTGGCCAGAATATTCTTCTAAGACATAGGTGGGTTTATGAGCCCATTCTGCTGCTATAAGCAGTTAAATCGGCCCACCTAGGCCCATCATCAGCAGACTTACTGTGAGGGAGGAGGAAGACCTCTTAAAAAATAGTGGTTCGAACGCTGGCAGCCAGGTGTAAAATTCTTTCTCTTCACAATGGGGTATTCTACTTCCTTCCATATTCTACTTCCTTGCTTAAGTTGCTACTTCAGTGTATGTCTTCCCTCTCCCCATCTCTTTTTCTTCTTTTTAGTGCCAGGCCATGAGAAATCACACATTTAACACAGTGACACAAACACACTGAATTTCCTTATGGCAAAAGAGTGGTCCTTGCTAATTTTTACACAGAATGACAACAAATCACTGGGAACCTCCATTGCTAAACAAGATTTTCATGAAATCAAGCCTCTTTTACTTCAGCCAAACTTAAAATTTATTTTAATTTTTGCAAACCATTAAAACCATTTCTTTTTGCAGACCCTTTCCTTGGTCCTTCCCTAGAAAAGACATCAGTTTCAAGAACCCTGTCAAGGCTGGACCAATGGATTCATCATGTCTCTTCCATGAAAGACAGCAGTGGGAGGTGAAAGATTATTAGTTTTTATTTTTCTATTTTTAAACTTTCAAAATTAGATAAGAAAAGAAATAACAATTTAAAAAATGCATACCTAAAAAAGAGAAAATTATGCTCCTATAAAACAAACAAATGAAAAAAAATCTCTCTCCTTTCTACATACCTTCTATTGCAAGAGTACCCATTTTAGATTCCAGGAAATCAAACAATGTGCTTGGAGCAGATGGTCGAGCATTTCCCAATTCTTCCTCAACTTCAGGTCGTATTCGGCCTCTACCTTTTCCTTTTCCTAGAGATGAGCCAAACAAACCATTTAGCATCAGCAAATACATTAAGCTTATATGTAGATTAGCTTGCTATAATGAGTTAGACATACTATCCTCCCTTAGGATGCTGTTTAATGTTAACATGAACATAATATAAATTAATAGACATAACATAAATTAATAGGCATGTGTCATTCTAACTTATGGAGACTCTTTGCAGAGTATTTCAGGTACACACTACTCAGAAGTGGTTTACCATTCATAAAAACCTTTTTTTGAAAACTAATAACACAAAACATTAAAACAACCATACAAAAAGTGCCTCCCACATCATTGGAACCACTAGAGATATTATCAATTTCTCCTCCCTATATGAGTCCCATTCCCCTTCCAAGATTGTAATGACTTTTGTGAAGATGCCGATCCCTTCCATTTTATTAATACATAATCAATAAATTCTCCCAAATACCTATAGAACTAGTTTTTAATTAATCCCTTCAACATGAATGTTAATATGTCATTGATAGCTATATTCCATACTTCCTTGTACATTTAATTGAAAATCGTACTTTATTTTCCAGTTCCTAGCAACCATTAATCTTGCCACTATTATTAAATCTGAAATTAGTTTTTTAATTGACCAGCTACATTATTCCTTATAAAATGTTAATAAAAGTGCTACTTTAGGGCGTTTCTAAATTTTGATCAAAAAATTCTTTCATTTCCTTAAAAACCAACTGCCAAACTTTCAATATGTTCTCACATTTCCACCACATATAAAAATAGTCACCAATGTTCTGGCATCCCTTCCAACAGAACTTAGAATAATTCACATTTATTTGATTTTACTGGAGTAATACACCATCTTCAAACTAATACATAAAAATCTTCCTTTATCGTTATAGACATAGATTTCAATACTCTACATCTCATATTTTCTTATAGCTCCCAGTATTTTTTTCATCTCTCAAATCATATTTATATAATGATTCAAGAAACTCTTATTGATCCGCTACTTCCAATATGTATACATTTTGCTTATGACACCTTTTATTTTCATCTACCCTTTTTTTGTAATGCCATCTCTTCAAATCTCATTAGTTCCCAACATTCAACATTTTTTCTTACCCAAATATTTTGTCCACTCCTCTAATTATATAAGATTAAAGCAAGATAACTCTCTCCGTTACTAATACTTATTTTATTTCCTCTTTATTCTCCCCTTTTTCCAACCACTTATCTTAGTAACTGATTTTCCCTTAATAAATTTCCCCCAGTTCTCCTCAAATTTATTGGAATTTTCTGCAATTATATCACCAGGCATAATGGAGAAATATACATGTAACAAATTAACAATGTATTTTTAAGAAAGGGGTTTTCAGTTTTTCTTACCATTATGTTGCATAAAAATATTCTCAGGACTTATATAGAATTCTTGTGATTGAATATTCAACCATATTAAGTTATTCACTGTATATCTTAATTGATTGGCAACATAATATAACTTTAAATTAGGAGGGTCCCGATCCTCCTACTTGTTGAATTTTATACCATCTTTTCTTATTAACCCTCATCTGTCAGATCAGCTTTGATTTGGATTTCTGCACTGAACAGTAGGCTGGACTCGATGATCTTACAGGTCTCTTCCAATTGAATTATTCTCTGATTTTATTTTCACTACAAAATGTATTGATTGTATTTTGTCAGTTTTTAGCTCCTTTTCAGTTATCTTTATTAATAACATCATAAATTTAAAAAATCATTCTGGGTAAAATCTTCATTTTACTCACCACTATTCAACCGAACCATGAAAATAGAGAGGTTACTCATCTGTAACCATTGTTCTTCTACTGGTACTCTGTGAATCTACACAAATGGGTTAAATTGTGCCTGTGCAGGACTCTTGAATATTCTAGAGTTCCAAATATCTGCTGTTGTAAGGGCTCTGAAAAATTAAATGCCAAAACAAAATGTTGTGACGGACAGCGGGGAGATAGGGCGGGACGTGTGGATTCACAGAGTACCACTAGAAGAACAACGGTTACAGATAAGTAACCTCTCTTTCTTCTTTGTGGTCTCTGTGAATGCGCACAAATGGGTGAGTAGCAAGCTCACTTACCGGAAGGAGGACCATCACGGCAGAATCGAAGTCAGCACAGCCATTCCGAAACTTGCTTCTTTCTTTGCTCTGACGTCCAGTCTGTAATGCATTGCAAAGGTCAGTGATGTAGACCAAGTCATTGATTTACAGATGTCAGAAAGTTCAGTGCCACGCAGCCATGCGGTGGAAGCAGCCATGGCTCTGGTGGAATGTGCCTTTATCACCTTTGGTGGAGTATTGCCAACCAGGTCATAGATTAAAGCGATGGCAGAGACCAACTATCTGGAGATGGTTTGGGAAGAAGCTGGATAGCCTTTCCGAGGATTGTGAAAGCAAACAAATAGTCTTGGAGATTTATGGAAGTCTTTAGATCTTGATACATAGAAGGCTACAGCCCAACAGACATCTTGACAAACATCAAGAGAATGGAGCATGCGCTCAACATGTGATGAAGGGTTAGTAAACAACATTGGGCAAATTAATGGTTGATTAACCTGAAACTCTGAAATCACTTTAGGAAGGAACGAAACATCAGGACAGAGAATTTGGCGTTCACCCTTCTGGCACCTGCATGTTTTGCCCTCACAAAGGCTCACGTCATGTTTTCCTCTCGCTGCCACCAGTGGATTACCTTAATCCACAATATAAATGATGTTTGTCAGAACAATTGTCTTGTGAATACGAACAGAACCTATTTATTGAAGTGAAGCAGACTTAATAATAATTAATAATTCTTCAGATAAACATTGTACAGAAGCAAATCATTAATAGTTCTCTCAGTACATACTTTTCTCTTGCAATATCATTACCAGCTTACGTATTTTCTTAACCAGCATTATCACTCAGTATCTGTTCCCTCTCTCTCTGACTAACCAGACCTTATTTCTATCTGGATCTCATATCAATCTCTATCTGATGCCTTCTCCCGCCAAACCTTCATATAGCTGCTGACTCTGTCTCTCCAGCCCTCTCATAGGCTCATGCAAATGAGCTCATGACTATGAATGGCATGATGTGGGGCGATTGTCACAGAGAACTTTCTCTGAGTAGAACTGGATATAAGGCTCATCAGCCCATAGTACAGCTAGTTCACTTGCCCTTCGTGCAGACATGATCGCCACCAAAAACAAAGTTTTTAAAGATAACTATTTAAAAGATGAAGTAGCCATTGGCTCAAATGGAGAACATATGAGAACTTTCAGGACAATCTGAAGGGACCATTGAGGATTTGGAGGTTGAAAAGGAGGACAAATATTCTGCAGACCTCTAAGGAACTTCTTAACAGTAGGGTGAGAAAGCAAACAAGAAGCTTCTGAACCCACCGGTTGATAAAATACAATGGCCAAACCCAAATCAAACAAATGGCATAAGAACGTAAGGAGAGTCCTCAAAGAAACAGGAACCATAATAAAACCTATGAGTTCAGCAAATTTGGAAAAGGCAGACCATTTATGGGAATATAACAATTTGCTTGATGGTTTTCTGGCCTTGTCGAGTATTTCTTTTATGCTGGGAGAACATACCGTGAGATGGAGAGACTTGACATCGGGGTCACAGACGTTGCCTCCGTCCCAAGTCAAGAGACTTGGTTTGGGAGGCAATCTCAGGTACTCGGCTGTGATGAATTTGAGGGTGAACCACGGTTGCGGAGGCCAACATGGTGCCACTAGGATGGCAGCCACTCTCAACTGTTGAATTTTGATTATTGTCTGTTGAATCAGAGGAATTAGTGGGTAAAGGTAAAGAAGTACAACATCCCACTGTATCATAAATGTGTCTCCCAAATATCTCTGTCCCTTGCCCACTCGGGAACAAAGTTTGCACTTCGCGTTGTGTTGTGTGGCGAAGATGTCAATGGTTGGTGTGCCCCATCTGTTGCAGATGCGAATGAAAGCTAAATCATCAAGGACCCGTTCATGTGTCTGGGTACTCAGACGGCTCAGGTGATCTGCTACGTAGTTGCCCTGTCGCCACATGGATGGCAATTGGGAATATGTGATGGTTGTAACACCATTCCCATAGGTGGATTGGCAGGTACAGAAGGGACAAGGAATGAGTGCCTCCCTGCTTGCTTCTGTAGTACAAAGCGGTCATCTTGTCCGTGACTACTTGTACTCCTTGGCCGGCCTGTAGTGGACAAAAGCGTCGAAAGGCCTTGAAGACTGCTAACATTTCCAGATGATTGATATGTAGCAGTCTCTCCGAGCTGGTCCATTTGGCATGAATCTTGTGAATGCCACAGTGTGTGCCCATCCTGTCATTCTGGTATTGGTTGTAACTTGCACAGTCAATTGGAGGGGTTTGGACGGTCGACCAATCATCAGGTGAGGCAGGAAAGTCCACCACATCAGTTGACTTGCCAACTCTGGGGTGACTTGAAGGCGCTTGGCAGCGTTGTCCAGCAAGGGATCAAACTGGGAGAGGTACCATGTCTGTAATGAGTGCATCTTCAGTCGTACATGTGGAAGCGCCGTGGTGGTAGAAGCCATCAGCCCCAGGAGGTGTTGAGTGTGATTTGCTGTCAATGTGATGGCTGGTCAAAGGGGATGGATAGCATGATTCAATTTGTGGAGCCTTTTGAGGAGAAGGAAGATTGTGGGTCTGTTGGAGTTCAGGACTACGCCAATGTAGCCCATGGTCTGAGATGGTGTAAGATGAGATTTTGTTACACTGACTTGAAGTCCAAGATCTGCCAGTGTTTGCAGCGTGAAAACTGTATCCTTCTGTGCTTTGGTACATGAGCCAGCGATGATCAACCAGTCGTCAATATATGGGAAAACCATGATGTTGTTGAGACGAAGGTAGGCTGCTACTGGAGCTAGGCATTTCATGAAAATCCTTACGGCAATGGGAAGGCCAAATGGGAGGGCGCAGAATTGGTAAATTGATTCCATGAACATAAATCTAAGATACTTGTGGTGA